ACAGCTAAGTCCATTGTAACTTTCAGTAATTGGTTTTTTATTAAAATAAGAGACTGCAGTATAAAGTTTAGCGACTAGGCTAAATAGGCATTAACAGGCCCTGGGATCCAACCACAATTTGTAACATCGTTCCTTTGGGAAAATAGATTCTAAGTGCCCAATAACCGACTTACAAATAGACTTTTGAATCATAGTCCATTTGAGAATAAGGAACTGTTTGTGATAGTAATACCTTCGATTGGCTTGCTTGAGAACTGCACAGAAGGGACCTATATTCTGCCACACATGTGCAATGAACCCAACCAGTCTGGGTTTGATCAAAGATTATTGCTGAGTGGGCATTGGAAGGAACTGAAGTGGAGGCTGGAGACAAGTCAAGGGTGGAGTTGGGAGGATGGGGAGTTAGGAGAGGTTTTAGCGAGAGGGAAGGTTTTCAATCTCAAAACAAAGTCTTGAGGCGCCTGGGTGGCGCAGTCGGTTGGGCGTCCGACTTCAGCCACAGATCGATCATGATCCGATTCGAGCCTCCATTCTCGAGCTCTGGACTGATCTAGAGCTGGCCATCATTTTCCGATTCTGTGTTCTTCCTCTCTCTCTCTGCCTCCCCGTTCATGCTCTGTCTCTCTCTGTCCCAAAAATAAATAAACGTTGAAAAAAAATTAAAAAAAAAAAAAAAGGCAAAGGTGCGATTCCGTGTAGATGAAGTGAGAGAACAGGACGGTTTGGATAGGAGCGGCGGTTAGGAGTAGAGAGCGTGGCAGGCAAAAGGAATAAGAAGGATCAACCAGAAGACAGCCTCTTAATTATAGAGAACAAGCTGAGGGTTACTGGAGGGGAGGGGCAGGGGGATGGGCTAAATTGGCGATGGGTATTAAGGAGGGCAGTTGTGATGAGCCCTGGGTGTTGTATGTAAATGATGAATCATTGGGTTCTACACCTGAAACTAATATTATACCGTACGTTGACTAACTGGAATTTAAATAAAAACTTGGAAAAAAGGGAAAGGAAAATGTACCAGGAGGGCCAAATGGCCCACATAGTAACAGCCATGTTTGGTTCAGTCTCTGCAAAGGGAAAACGTGACTGCTACGTTTCTACGGTTTGCAGTTCAACTCAGCCAAGGGGTCATCATTCACTTCCACGGGCATCTCCTGCTCCAAGAGGCCTTGTCCTGCCTCCCCTCTCCGTGCGCCCCCGTATTAGCAGCCTTCTCTTCCACGTTCGGTACTAAGCGCGGATCTGTCCTACAGCTGCTATGTTAGGAGGCTCATTCCAGGCAGTAAACGTGATGGCAGTTGTTGTGTGCTCCGTCTGTGTGTTGCCTTGGTCACAGGCCACGTCTTTTCGTATCCAAATCCATTATGCCAAGAGTAGTGCTGCATCACCGGTGGGCTCAAGGGGTCGTCTTTTGTCTCAGCTTGGTCTGCTGGCCCCAAAACTGGGTGGCTTAACCAACAGAAATCTATTCCTCATGGTTCTGAAGGCTGGGAAGTCTAAGATCAAGGTGCCGGCAGATCCATTGGCTCCAAGGACATTGGATCCAAGGGCTCTCCTCCGGGTTTGTGGAGCAGCTGTCTTCAGCTGTGTCCTCCTGTGGCTGGAGGGGGGAGAGTGGGCGGGGTAGAGAGAGAGAGAAAGGGAGAGAAGGAAGAGACTCCCTCGTCCCTTCTAGTAAGGGCACTGATCTCATTGGGAGTGCCTCCCCCTCGTGACCTAGTTACCTCCCAAAGGCCCCACCTCCAAATAACCATCACATTGGGGATTAGAGTTTCAACATATGAGTTTTGGGGAGATACACACATTGAGTCCACAGCACTTTTCCCGGTTCGACTTGGAAACCTGTCAACTCAGTGTCATCCATGTTTCCCCGGCCACCGTGGGCTGTGGCATACGAGGCTCTCAAGAAGAGGGGCCATGTGTGCGACTCTGTGTCCCTGCCTGCCACTGTTGAAACTCCAGCTCCCTTTCGGGTCCTTCCCTGTAACTGCTTGACTGATTGTGGGGGCAAGGGGAGGACTGTCTGTGTCTGAGGAGCATGGTTTCCTCATTAACCGTATTTCTGCCATTCCCATTCCCAGTGCTTGGCACCCTCCCTGCTCATGCCCCAGAGCCTCTCACGCTCGCGGGCGGTCAGCTGCCAACCCTTAGGCTGAGGAAGAAGGCTCCAGTCTGTCTTTATGAGCAGGACAGAAATAACCCTAAGTGGAGAAAGTACCCTCCATAATCTTACCGCTGTCGCATATCTCCATTTGTACTGTGCCCCCTTAAAACACAGCCACAGGCAGGGGTCTCCTCATCTCAGGGATTTGAATTCTTCAACCTTTTCCTCCATAAGTCCAGGGGGTGGGGTGGCAGCGAGGGTAAGTTTCACTGGGCTAGACGGTGCCTCCACGACAGTATTGGCACGTTGTCCGAGGACCAGTTCCATACATCTTGCCTCGTCCCTTTCAGTAAGAAATTTTCCAGGAGGTTTTTCTGTGCCCCCCGTATCGACCTCTGGCCAGCGCCCTCTCCAGAATTGCCCAGACTTGTCTGAGTTTCCTGGTGAACACACCCAGGCCGCCACACCGGGATTTCCCTGAGTGGGTGGGATTTTCTTCTTTCCACCCAGATTCTAAAGGGCAGGCTGTTGGCACAGATAAGGTAAACGTAGACGTTTTGTCTGAGATTCAGAATTATGCAACTCATCAAGAGTTAAAAAAAAATGTGTAAAGTTTCCTTTATTTTACTGAGAGTCAACTTTTATTCTTAGGGCACTGTTCTATCAATTATGCTTATGTCACTACGCTGACAAAGAAGGCGTTGTCAGCAGCAATGGCATTTATTCACTGCCCAAAATAGCCCAACTGTGTATCTTCCTAGATGTAGGGTAGTAACCAGAGGAAGAATGGGCTTCATTGAGTGCTTATTATCTGCCAAGCTCAGTGTTAAGCAGGTTGCCCTGATTAGCTCATTTGTTTATAACAAAAGTGCTGTGAGGTAAGTATTCTTAGCCCCATTTTTACACTTGAGAATTGTTGTTTAAAGAGGTTAAGTAACCCGCCCAGGGTCACAGAGGTAATAAGTGGAGAGCTGGGACCAGTCCCTGGGCCATCTGACTCCAGAACGGGGCTCTAGGCCACAATTATGCCTCAAATACATCTTTCTGATAAGTGTTGTTGGAAGTCTCTTACTGAGAATGAAAACTGAGCAGTAAGACAGTAGAACCTGTTTTCCACTTTGTGGTAGTAGCTGATGCTCAGTTTAACTAGCGGTGGAAAGATTCCTGTCCATTTGACATGTTTCTTGAAGACGGTAATTTATGTTATCATGTGGATAAATTATATGTAAATGTAGCTTAATAGCCAAAGGACAGTCGTCCAGACGATAATTTTAGCAGACTTTTGTGTTTCCCCGATTCATTTAAACCATATATTTTTGTGAGCCAGAGACTTTATTCTTCTCTTTGAAGCAGATATCCTACTCGTAGTCATAAATTCACTGGGAAGTCAGACATACTTTTTTTTTTTTTTTTTTAATCCAAAGAATGATTCTATGCTTTAATTCTATCTGATAAGAGACATCACACCAAGGTGCTTATTTAGGCTGGTACTAATATCTTAAAACGTATTATTTTAAAGTGTTTAATTTGATTAAATATTTTCTGGAACATGAAAAACATCAGTTTGTTCCTTCTTGTGACGACCCATGGGGAGAAATGGTTTAATCTGAAGATCTCAGCAGAGAAGAGAAATTAATCTTTTGTATTAATTTTATACCCCCTAATACTTTTTGGAGGCTTTATGCAAACTGAGAAATGTTTGCCATTTAAGTTTTAGCACCTTTATCTTTTGGAAATAATAATAAAAAAAAAACACCACCACCCATTTGTTTGTATGGAGTCTCGGGTTCTAGAGGCACTGAGAAAACTCCATATGGAGTATAAAGGAGTGGGGAGAAAAACTGTCCT